GAATGGGCACAAATATGGATCTCTTCCAATCAGTCAGCCAGATAGTTGTCTTCCAAATTTCTTGGCAGAGATGAGTGAGTGCCTCTTGTGCTGCCTCATAACAAATAGCGTAATGGTAAATGGAGAAAAGATCGAAGTTGTCAAAAGACATCACTTTGCTTATATCTACAATCAACATCTATGGAAGCAGCAGTCAAGAAATCTAATGACATATTGCATTAGGCAAATCTGCTGCAAAATACCTCTTTTTAAAAAGTGTTTAAAAGCAAAGATACCACAAGAGGGAGCCTAGACCCAGAGGGCGTGGAGGAAGGTGGAATTTCCACTGAGCAGTAGCCAATCTGTCTGGGTGGGGCTAACGAAAGGAGCTAGGAATAGGTCCTTTGTGGTACAACAGTGAATTTTTATCAGGACTGACTGTGAGGGTTGGAAATGTAAAGGTAGACATTTTGTAGCAAAAGGAGGGGAGTCATTGATTGCAGTCTAGGAGTGGAGGTCCCTAGGACCATCAATGGAGAAGAGCAGAGTACAGGACCCTACCCAGAGAAGCAGTGATGCCAGAGATAGAGGCAGAAATGATGATGTGGAGAAATGGAGTGGCTGGGACTCCAGACCCAGAGAGGGAGAGGGGCTGTGTGCTGACAACCGGGGGGCAGGCTGGCAGGGTATACCCTTTGGTTGGATGATGATGTATGGAGGAGATTGTAACCATGGTAATGAAACGATATAGGATAGGATGAATGTAAAAATAATGTTTTCCCATGTAAACTATCACATAATTCACAATACAACATTAAAAAAAAAAACAAAAAACCATACAAGGGGACTTGAAAATCCTGTTCTCTTTTATTTCCATTTGTCCATTTGAAGTTCCCTGGGTCCCCACCTCAAGTTCTGCATGTATATCTTGGTGTGATTGATGTCACTCTAACAGTTGTTTAACCATCCTCCTCCTCCTCCTGAGTTATCCCTCTCCTAGTAACACAAACTCGCTGCCCCGTAAACTTCCTAGATAACCTTTCGAGTTGCCACTGTCCGTCAGAGCTCATGTGTCGGGTTTTCAAGGATGAGACCACCTGCCATTTGCACCAACCAGGAACTCCTTAAATAGACTATGTTGTTGTTGTTAAGTGCAGTCGAGTCAGTTCCGACCCATGGTAACCTGTGAGGACCGTGGTGGTGATAGTGTGCTGTGGAGTCGGTTCCGACCCATGGTAACCTGAATGGAGTTTCTGAGGAGCAGCTGGTGAGCTTAAACTGCTGATCTTACGGTTCAAACTGACTTTGCAGTCCAGCTCATTAACCCAGCGTGTCATAAGTGATACTAAAAGTTCCTGGGATATCATTTGCAAATAAAATAAAGTACATTGAAAGCACTTAAAGAAATAAATGTCCAACTATGGGGAAACTCGTGGGCATGTTTTACATTTCTAGAATGAAGTTCTTTGGTTTCCTAAGAGAGATTTTAAACGTTAATGGATGCTTCGTCACTCATGTGGGTTGCTGCCTGACTTGGGGATCTGTGGTGCATTTCAGAGTTGGAGGCCGAGGAATGGTGCAAACATCTCTGCATGGAGTGTCTGGGGACCAGGCTGAACGACATCAGTCTTGGGGAGCCGGACCTGCTGGCTGCGGGCGTGCAGCGTGAACAGAACGGTGAGTGTGCCGTTTCCGTATGCACAGTACTTGTAGAGCTTCGAAATAGGACTGGGCCAATGAAATATTCAGATACATGGTTTTGGTTTATTTATCATTTTAAGAAAAGTAAATTGATCAGTTTGGGTTAGTGAAACCTTTTCATAGGGACATAAATATGCTTCCAATATTTTTAGCCTCTTAGATTTCTTGGGAGCTTGTTATCCCAGATATAGTTCATAAGGCCATCTGATGGGCACCAATATAATGCATGAATCTGGAGAAATAGGTGTCACTGTTCTTCCCACCAGAGTCTGCTTGAGACATAGGTGATCCACATGATTGTATCAAATTCCATTTTAACTCAAAAACTTATTTTTCCTTGATTTCAGTATGTCTTCCATTACCAGAAACACATGACATCAACACAAATTTCAAAGCAGAAAATAATTTGGTCATATAAAGGTGAAGGGTTTTTACCAAGATTGTATAAAACCTGTGAAATGTTTAAATAGGAACATTCTAGAGCTCCTGTCTTCACTGCAATTTCTCTAAATCCATAGCCAATAAATTCTTTCGCTGTGTAAAAGTTTGAGACATTTGACATCCCCACTTTATCTTTGAGAGTCGCTTTAAATATAGAGTCTATATATCAACCTATATGGCATTTCATCCTATCGTAGAGCACTCAGATAATTTTCCAAGTAGAAAAGTATGGTGGGTGGAATGTCAAGAGTATTACCAAATTGAGGTCAGTATGGCTAGCACTATTGACTTCTCACACTGTGCTGCAACTGAGCAACCATTCCTGATGTCTGCTCTCAATGTCACATCTCCTTGACTGGTGCGTGTCTTCCACCAAGTGGGTTCCAACTCCTAGTAAAACTGAATATAGAGGGTCTCTGACTTGTAACTCTTTACGGAAGAAGAAAGAGTCATCTTTTTCCAATGGAGTGGCTGGTAGACTCAAACTGCTGACCCTTTGATTAGCAGCCTTGCTCATAATCCACTACATCACCAAGGCACCTTATCTCCTTGACTCACCATCTCTAAATAATGAAATTAGGGTCACACATTTATTACTCTGTGTGTTACTATTACCTGATTCTGAACTCATTTTTCTTCATTTTTTTCATACTTTCTGCCACTCCCAGAGGACCTTGTAGTGTGAAAATAGAAACTGTTCAATGGTCCTAATTTTGATGGTCAGGGTTTGGTACAGTGAAGAGATTACTGGGGAAGCTTGAGACTATCAAAAAGAAAGTCTGGAATTATCGGTGGATTATGAATTAAATAGCACAGGTCAAGTACTTGATTGTTGTTAAGTGCCATTGAGTCAGTTCTGACTCATAACGACCATGTATAGGGTTTTCAAGGAAAAATCAATGAGCTTGAACTGCCGACTTTGCAGTTCACACGGACTTTACAGTCCAGCACACTAACCCACAGCACCATAGCCGGGCTTGAATGGTTATAATCTTGGTATTACCAACACCTCTATTGTTCATGACCATTCCTGCCTCTGAGCACATTAAAAGCACTTTTTCGTTTGTTGTGAAAAGGAAAAAAGCAAGGTGTTTATTGCTAAAGTATCCTGAACCTAAACAGATAGAGAAAATCGGTATATATCTGTGATTGTTTTCAAAATCAGGAGAGAACTTCTGTGACTCTTTTTGTAGTTTTCTGTTTTGTCTTCCCCTCCCATACTCAGCCAGAATTTGCATTGAGAGCTGCAGTCTGTGTGGAGTCTGGAACCACACTGCTTCATGCGCGTTGTTCCTTCTCTTTCGCAGCTGCAAGAAAGCCAGGGACAGCTCATACTGATAAGCATTTGTCAAATCATGTGTAAAGAAAACCAATGTATCAGGCTTGTGGAGGAAAACACCTGGTGCCTTCTTTATTGTGGGCTCTTTTCTTTACTTTAAAGGCTTGGAGTTCATAGAGTTTCCATCAAAATGGAGAAAATACCCCCTGGGTTCCTTATTTGTTGTTGTTCTTGTTAAGTGCCATCGAGTCGGTTCCGACCCATAGCGACCCTGTACAGGGTTTCCGAGGGTATAAATCTTTACAGGAGTAATCATTGTTATTTCTCACTTAAAATATCTAGAATATAAGGGAATTTGTTGGGAATAGACAAACACATACTTAAGTTTCATAAAAAGCTTAAGGTTTTGTTATTGTTTTTATAAAAAGTAATAGTTTTTATTAACAACTCTCCAAGTAAAAAACAGAAGTAATGGTCCCTGCATATTCTTTTTACAGCAAACCTGCAATTATATTGTCACCAACAACAAATGTTTCTCTTAGATTTATTGGCTTAATAACCTCAATCTTATGCACAGAGACATGTGTGCTTTAAAAATCTATTTAGTAAATCTGTGAGTAATGACTTAGGTGCGGAAGGTAGTAGAGGCTGATCTTGAAGATAGAGTGGGTTTGGCTGCAGACCACCGACAATAAAGCAAGCATCACAATACAGGGAGTTACGGGACACGCTGGTGTCCCAGCTCAATACTAGTGATGTTGACACTACACTGTCATCTATGAGGTGAGCAGTAACATGATGAAAAATGTCTAGAATATTGGGAGAATAACCAAAGTGGAACACAGAGACGTGTGAGCACATGCTTCTGGAAAAAAGACACTAATAGACGTGCTCAGTCTGGGACATAATATCTGGGAGGTGCTGTAAAGTGAGGCCCACAGAAACGAGGTGTGCCTGTCTATGGTTGTGATTGTTTGTTAAGTCCTGATGAGTTGTGATAGTGACCCTGTGTTGGGTTTCCAAGGCTTCAGATCTTCTCAGGAGCAGAGAGCCTCATCTTTCTCCCTTGGAGCAACTGGTGGGCTAGAAGCGTGGACCTGTGGTTCTTATTCCGTTGTTTAATGTAAGGAGCCACTGTGCTCCCTGTGCCTGTCTGTGGTTCAGCTGTTGTTAAGTACCGTGGAGTCGGTTCTGACTCATAGTGACCCTGGCACAGGGTTTCCGAAGCTGTAAATCTTTACGGGAGCAGAAAGCCTCGTCTTTCTCCCGCGGAATGGCTTGTAGGTTCGAACTGCTGACCTTGCAGTTCGTAGCCCTATTGGTAACCTAGTCACTGAAAATCTTATGAATAGCAGTGGAACACTGTCAGCACCAGAAATTTGAATATGACACAAGATGAAAAGCACACGAATATTGTCAGATACAGTGCCGGAAGATGAGCCCCTCAGTTTGGAAGGCACTCAAAATACGACTAGGGAAGAACTACTTCCTCAAAGTAGAGTTGACTGTGATGATGCGAATGGAGTAAAGCCCTCGGGACCTTGAGTTCCTGATGGGGCATGACTCAAAGAGAAACAGTTGTAAATATCCATTGACAATCAGAACATGGAATGTACAAAGTGTGAATCTAGGAAGACTGGAAATTGTCAAAAATGAAGTGGAATGCATAAACATCGATATCCTAGCCATGAGTGAGCTGAAGCGGACTGAGATTGGCCAGTTTGAATCTAACAATCATATGGTTTACTATGCCAAGAATGACAAATTGAAGAGAAATGGCATCACTTTCATCACCAAAAAGAACATCAAGCTCGGTCTTGAAGTACAACGCTGTCTGTGATAAGATAATATCCATACATCTACAAGGAAGACCAAATAGTAGAACTATTATTCAAATTTACGCACCAACCACTAAAGCCAGTGATGATGAAATTGAACAATTCTACCAGCTTCTTCAGTCTGAAATTGATCAAACATGCGATCGAGATAACTAGCCATACATAGGGGTTTCATTGGCTGAGTTTGAAAGGAGGTTGCCAAGTCTTTCTTTCTAGCCTCTCTCAGTCTGGAGTCTTCTCTGAAAACCCATTAAGCATCTTGGCACGTCTCTACTCAAAAATGAATGATAGCTGTGCTAGGGCTGCACTGGGTAAGAGTAACTACCAAAAATATGAGCCACAATTCACCTGTCAGTTTGCCACACTGTGGTGATTTAGGTGTCACTCTGATGCTGGAAGCTATGCCACCAGTATTTTAAATACCAACAGGGTCACCCATGGTGGGCTGGTTTCAGTGGCGTTTCCACACTAACATAGACTATGAAGAAGCAGAGGCAGACTACTGTTGAATGTTTAGGCACCGGAAACCTTAGGAATAGCAGCAAACTGATGCAGCACTGGAGGCGTTCATCATCTCTGCCAAGAAATTTAGACGATAGCTACCTGGCCAACTGATTGGAACAGATCCATATTTGTTCCCATTCCAAAGAGAGGTGACTCAACAGAGTATGGAAGTCATCAAACAATATCATTAATATCACATGCAAGCAAAACTTTGCTGAAGATAATTCAAAAACAGCTGAAAAACTAGTTGACAGGAAACTGCCAGAAACTCAAGTCAGATTCAGAAGAGGATGTAGAAATAGGGATATCACTGCTGACATCAGATTGATCTTGGCTGAAAGCAGAGAATACCAGAATGATGTTGACTTGTATTTTATTGACTATGCAAAGGATTTTGTCTGTGTGGATTGTGATAAACTATGGATAACATTGCAATGAATGGGTATTCCAAAACACTTGATTGTGCTCATGAGGATTTATATAGAGACCAAGAATCATTCATTCGAACAGAACAACGGGGATAATGAATGCTTTCAAACCAAGAAAGATGTGTGCCAGGGCTGTATTCTTTCACCATCCTAATTCAATCTGTATGCTGAACAAGTTATTTAAGAAGCTAGAATATATGAAAAGAGCATGGCATCAGGATTGGATAAAGTCTCACTAAGAACCTTGCTTGCTGAAAGCAAAGAGGATGTAAAATACTTATTGTTGAAGAACAAAGACTATATAGCCTTAAGTATAGATTTACTTCAGTGTAAAGAACATAAAAATCTTCACAACTGGACCAGTAAATAATATCATGATAAATGGAGAAAAGATTAAAGTTCTCAAAGATTTCCTTTTGCTTGGATCCACAATCAACATTCATGGAAGCGGTACTCAAGAAATCAAATGACATATTACATTAGGGACATCTT